GAGAGGAAATTTAGGTTAATTTGCATGGTTTAAAATAAGTCTAGTCTGATCAGTGACGTTATGGCTTATTTTGGAAACAATTGTAACATAGACCTAATGCTATCAATAGACTCATTCTTAGAATTACATGAGAGATTAATTTTTTTGCCGGTGTCCTCATCCACTCCACAATAAATCCTTGAGCTATCAGTGTCATTATTATAAATAATCAGTATGTAGAACAAGTGACCCAAAATATTTTGTGTTGCATGAACAAAAACACAATGTAACTGTGATATATATATAGAAGAGTTCTTATAAGAGAGTGAGCCTAGTTTTATTACAGTATTTGTTACATTTAATTAGAATGTACGTGTGAAATATCAGTTAAGTGTATTAGATGTATAAATGTTTTGAACAATGCCGATTGTGTATTTGCATGTTCACATGAAAACAAAGTACTGCAGAATTTATTCTCACATGAAATAGCAGAAATTTGCCAGCATATGATTATGAATTGTACATTTAATGGTGAAAATTGTTGATTATGCTGTAGATAAATGTATTCCTGCAGTGTTCTTGAAACTAATCCACTGTATTGGACTGTATTTAGCTGGAAAAGTCAAGCCTATGTCCTTGATATTTCTCTACTTAATCATGTTTGTAAGATTTGTGAAATTACTCTGTGGCATACATATTACCCACACAGCCGTTTTCTGAAAAAAAAACAAAAAACATCTAGGTATTGAGGGGAAAATGGATTTATATTTTAACTTTTGAGTTGCTGTTATAAATGCTGGTAGACTAAAATTGTTGCACAATTGTAAACTTACAAAAGTTGAAAAAGGACCATTATAAACTATGTTGAAGTGTACATGATAGGAAAATGTACTGGTCATGATAATTTAGGTATGTACATGGTAGAGTAACACGCATAGACACTTACAGCAAATATTGGACACATATTATGGTATGCAGATTAGACGACGCCAGATTAATGAAATAGTAATGAAAAGTGGCACATCTCATTTGTTTTTATTGTATAAGTACACACCCATAAAACTGACCAATTTTTAACTTACAACTTTATTTGCACATGAAAGTTTATATAATTTGTAATGTCATAACTTGTCATATTTTTCTGAAGTCAACATCAGTTAAACATATCAGATCAAATGTAAACAATATTTTCATGCTTTAATCTTCATATGTCTTGTACTACACCGGTAATATGTGATTTTCATGTAAAATAAAATGTTTTGCATAATTAAGTAACCTGACTTTGTTTTGTCGACTTTCAAAGATGAACCCCACTATGGGGATGATCTTGAGAGTCACTGTTCTAATAAGGAGAATGTTAGCATTTCATCCAAAAGATTTGGTTCTGATTACAGAATAGTAATATTACTGAAACATCTTAAACTAGGTTTCACCAATATGAACAATTTACATGAGGAATTCTCTATTATTTTTTCTTTAGAATGAGAGACTGGTTATGCACATGAGTTAAGCTGCAATAAAAATTGAAGGGTTGTAGCAAAGTTTTTCCTATACTTCAAGCCTTTAATTATAAGACCTTGCAGAGACCACTTGGGAGAGATGGGGCTCAAGTTCAAAAAGATCTAGTAGTAGGTGAAGGAAGGGGAGGAAAACATAAGCATTCGGTCATAACTCGGTAAAAAGAGGAAAAGTGGAGTCTTTAAAAGAGTAATATTGTTAAATTTATTTGTCTTTAGATCTAGCACAGTATATGTAATGCATCATTGATGAAATAGGTGTAATGATTTGTGTTACTTTTTTGGACTTCATGATGTATATATATATATTGTTACGTCTCTGCTCGTTTGATAATTTCCGGTAGAAATTCTCCCCGAGAAACTTCAGCGATACA